GGTCACCTTGTAATAGCAGCCAGTTTTTTTGTTTATGTCCTAGGATGACCAAGAGAATATCAAAATAATTCAAGTCATTTTATTTCTTAGTGGAAAGTTAGATTTTCCCTGTTTTCTAGAGCACAAATTTAGTAGTTATAGAACCTTCACATAAATTCAGCACTTGGTACCCTCACTTTGCCATAGAGCACAGTTCCAAGTAGCTACATATAAATGAAAAGACTATTTCACTTATTTCCCTCATTTAGATTTTTGATGAAAAAAATAAGCCATTGGCAGAGGGTAATGGATTACAGAGTTCACTTTCAGATTTTCCTCTGTCATTATAGTCAATAGACTATTCAGTTTTGTTTTTTCAAATCATTTTTACATAATAAACCTTTGACTATAATTATAGCTGTCAGACAGCTATATAAAAATTAATAAGGATAAATAACAAAATTGGATTTACTGGAAGCTGATCCAGTAACAATTGGAAAGTAGTTGTTTTCAATTACAAAACCTATTATTTTTTGGCCACATACATTTATATTAAATTCCCCATTAAAAAGCAGGATTTGTAGAAACTTTCTCTATCCTCTATCTCTGAACTTCAGTTCAGCTTCGTTCACCTGAAATCTCTCATTCTCCACTTAAACTGAAAAACTTTGCATTTAATCACAGATCACCTGATTGTGACCTGGGTCTTAACTCTTTCTGGGTAACCATTTCTGCACTGTGAACTGAACCTGCTCTCTCCCACCCCCAACTTTTTTTTCTGAAGCTGCTCACAATATCCCTGGACATTTCTACAGCACTGTAGAATGAGTATATTCCAGTCTCTGCTCTTCAAATCCATGCAACTGTTTTTTTCGGTTTGTTCTCACTCTGCATTTCAGTGGGAAATATTTTAATTTGAACATATAATATTGCCTATGTAACATCACAACCTTTTGCAGAGTGGAAGTTTTGCATTTTTCAGCTTCCTCTGTTCTCAGCTGGGCAGAAATCGACAAGAACTGTCAGATATGTCCACTGGGAACTTTACCACCACACC